GGCCGTTCCTGCTCGGCAATTCGAGACACAGCAGCAGCCGTCCCCCGCGCCAGGGATGGGCTGAGGCTGGGCTAAATATGTGATGGGCTGAATGGCATCTGAGCCCTGCAATTCCTGTCAGAGTCAGGGAAAATCACAATGCTAAAATACACAGTGATGTTTTAAGCACTTGGGGTGGAAAGAAATAATCCCCCGGTCATGGTCACGGTCATGGTCATCCTCGTGCGTGAACACCGGACACGTGAGGGTCTGGTCCCGCTGTTGGCCATTTGGGTGCATGGTGGTGACAATGTGTGGCCATCACGTACACAGGCGGTGTTGGCATGCTGGTTGTCTGTGGAAAATTCCCAGTCCCCAACCCTCCCTTTGCTTCCTGCCAATGAAAACCAGTTCCAGCCTTGCCCTGTCTTCAAAAGTGAGACCTAAATCCCTCGTTATAAATAAGCCAGGAGCTCCGGGTCAAACGCAGGGGTCTTTGCTGGGTCACTTGTGGCATAGCAGAGCCTGGAGGGATGGGGGCTGAAGGAACACGGTGTTCAGAGGAGGCAGCTTTCAAGCCAAGACTTGTTTGTTGGAAAAGCCTGTGGCTGTTTTCTAGCATCTCAAACTAATGGTGTTTATTTGGCCTCAAATCAGAGTAGGAGAAGCAACTAAAACACAAGGAGTCAGCCGTCCTGTTAAACACTGAACCCGCTCGGGTGTTCAAACCACAGTAACCCATGGGTTAATCTCACTCTGGTTTGTTTTTTTCCTCCATATTTTTGCCCAGGCATCGTTTCCGTGCACCTCAAAAAGGACAGCCTGGGCAACCTGACCCTGCTCGCCAGCCCCAGCCTGCAGCAGGACGGCTGCAGCCGACGGGACCGCGCCATCGGTGACCCCGCGGTGACGATATGGCACAAGTGGGCGGCCAGCCCCGGCACCGGCAGCGAGCGGGCGCTCGTCAAGAGGAGCCACATGCAGCTCTCCAAGACCTTCAAAGAGAGGTGAGGGTTTGCTGCCCCTGCAAACGTCCTCCTGGCTCTCGCTTGCCGCTTTGGGTAGGGTCTAACCGGGATGGTTTTGGTGGCACAGCTCCTGGTTTAAGGCAAAGCGAGCAGAAGCAATGCTTTTTCATCCCCTCTTCCCCATCTTGTGGATGGAGCAGGGCAGATTTTGCTATCGCCGAGATGCTGTTGCTCAAATATGTGCCTGGAGCTCTGCTTTAAACCTGTTTTCTCAGAGCACAGCTTGCTGTGAGAGGAAAGGCCCCATGGGAACAGCCACCAAGCACACAGCACACACCACCCTCCTGCTGGGAACCAGCCCAAAATATCAGCCTCGAGGGTGGCTCGATCCTTTCCTCTCCCCGGGGAGAGCTGTCTCTGAAAGCCACTGCGGTGCTTGCAAGCACAGCGCGACCTCAGGGCTCGCGGAGCCTTTCTGCAAGACATCTTTCATCTCAAACTTGCTCAGAAGAGCCCTAGGTCAGCTGTGACTGAAGGGCGCAATATTGTGACCGTGAAATCGCTGCCCTTGGTTATGGTTTTTGGATGAGCGAGACCAGGGAACGACCCTCCAAGGAGAACATCTCATCTCTCCCTCCTTCCTTCCCCTCCTCAAAGCCAGCCCCTCTAAACTGGGAATCGTTCCTAGAATTGGACAATTTGCTTGTGTTGTGCCCGTTAGGTAGATAAACAGAGATTCCTGGGCATTGGCGCTGTGAATGGCACCTTTCACAGGAGCCAAGCACGCTTTGAAATGATAATGACAGCAAATATTGGCACCCAGCAATAGCTGGCTTTCCGAAAATTACTTTTACAGAGTAACAAAGCATCTCCACAGGTTGGACGTGATAAATATGTTTCCTTTGAGAGTCCCTGAAAATTCACCTTATCAACTTCGAGGCTCTACAAAAGAGAGGGGGTGAATATTTTCTTCTGGAGCTTATAAACCAAGCGTGTTCTTTTGTGTGTTTTGTCTAGCTGCCCGGGGAAGAGGCTATTGAGGACAGAGCTGCAGTACCACACAGATTCACTTCTGGAAGTGAATGCGAACGGAAACCAGGCAGAAAGAAAGAGCTACAACCCCTGGGGACTGCACTGTCACCGGCAGCACCTGAACCGCATGTCCTCCAAGCATAATGAGAACAAGCTTCATCGTATCCTTTCTCCTCTCTCGCCTCCAGCGCAGTCCTGGCTACAAATAACAGCTCGTAATCAAGGAATCTTTTATTGCAGGGGGTTTGCATCCCTCCTCTGCTCAGTCCCTGGGAAAATACAGGGTATAAAGAATATAGTTGCTCTGTTATCTTCTCCCACTGATCAGTTGGACAAGATGATCATTGTAGGGTCATCTCTTCTCTT